GTACAGGCACGAGGTACACTGCTGGGCATATTAACTGTGTCAAGCACTTGCATCGGCACAAGCACTTGAAATGCGTAGAACGTTGATATCATGTTTACCTTCATGGCGATGTAAAACCTGGGAGACCTGAACCCTGGGTAGCATATGATTCCTGCAGAGGATGTCAGCTCCGGGGAGGACTGTGCCACATTCAGGAAATGTGTGCAAATGAAAAGTGTGATGCCTGTATATTTTCTTTATGTTGCTTTGTGTGTGTTGTTTCAGCTTTTAGGGGCTGCTGCAACATCGAAACTGCCTAATGCACATTGATTGGTGTTCACGTGTCAAACAATGCATTCCATATCATTTAAAGTATGAAGACCTACAGCAAAGCATCACAGGATCGTACACGAGCAAAAACCTGCTAGGGACTGGTTCAATGACTTTTAACTTTAAGGTGCTATAATGAAACAATTAGATACAGAACTAAGATAGAACGGGAAGGCCGAGCGCTAGAACGAAGTACTTTTGAAGTTTTGAAGAAAATTTGGAAACATGAAGTATGTGTTATGATTCTGGTTGTTTGTTGTCTGATGACCAACACTCACTCACATAGACTTCCAGGTATGCCCATACATACACAGAAGGAAAGGGAGAGGAGGAGTATCACACCGCACAGGGAGAGATAAACACAGCGGAAGACTTGACCATGCGATATGACAGGGTACACTGAAAGTGCAATTCACTCCACTCAATCCTCACAACCAGTCATAGAGAAAAGCCGAGCAGATCACATCCAGGAAACAATGAAGCGATTATATTCCAAACCCCGTTATACACTGTTTATTAAACGCGAATTGTCAGGATAACTTCAGAACTACAGTGCGCTGCTCAGAAATGAGAAGCGCTTCACTCCCCAACTCTGAGTAACCACCTGTAACACCCCGGAGCCCCTGAAACATCAAGCGCCACACTGATACAGCCTCCTGAGGGAAGCGCCACCTTGAAACAGGCCTCTGAGGCCAAGCACCACTCAGAGGATGAAGAAGAAGAGCAGCGCCACAGTATCTAATGATGACGAAGTGTCGGAAGACTTCCCGGGTGGAAGTCTGCAGCAGCGCCACCAAACCCTGACAAAATGGCCTCTGAGGAAGAAGCTGCAGCTATGGCTGCAGCACCAACACCCTAGAACCCCACTCCGGAGGAGGGTCCAGCAGGGCACCAACCTCTCTCGCCTCCAGCAGACCTCGATAGCCCAGACCTCTGTCAGCCAATGCGTGCTGGCAGAGTACAGCGCAGGTCCCAGCTATGGCCGGCGCTCCGAAGGTCTGGCTATGCCTGTCTCCTTCCACACTGAGCCGTCACCACTTCCGGTTCACGCGTATCGCAGCAGCGATGTTCTTGGTACCAACTGCCAAAAGCCCGGAACCGATGCCTATCCTATCTATAGACTACAACTAGCCTAGACTCGACCTAGACCGGACTGACTGACTGACCAGTACCGTATCTGTTTCGGCCTCTCGGCCTCTACCGGACCCGACTATAGGCTATAGGACTGTCTATCATAATAGGCCCTTAGGGCCTGCCTGTCCTAGGGGTAGCCCGGGCCCGCTATTCGCAGTTAGGGTAGCTGTAGGGAAGTCGGTTAGTACTGGGCCTGCATTTTCCCATATTTGCAGATAGGTCCCTCACGATTTTCCCTCACAGGGAGGTTTCTCGGTTAGCCCTCAGCCAAACAAAATTACATATCTGTCCTACCTAAAATACAGCCTCGACAAGGAGAGGCTACAGGCGACCAGAAAACAGCAAGTCATTGCAGACCTACCCTCCCCCGGAGCGAGGACCTCCGAGATAGGGGTGTAGGCGTGCAGAGCGCCGAAGGGATACTCCCTTCTGTTCTGCCTCATATTTGAGGATTACAGACTTGGCCGTCTTCAGAAGTTCCTTGCGAGTAAACTAGTCCTCAGTATGTGGCTGGTACAAGAACTTCACAAGGTACTCCTTATCTGGACGTGTACCTAACTCATCCTCCATAGATTCGACCTCATATCCTTTGCCAGGGATAGGGGGACCGAACTGAGGAGGCCTGTCTGGAAATGCATCATCTAATGTGAACGGCAACAACTTGGATGCATGGAAGACAGGGTAGGTTTGTCGATGTAGAGGGACATCCACTGTAGAGGATGGTCCAAATGGATCAGCTCCCACTGTATCTAAGACCTGCCATGGACCCACATATCGTGGCAACAACTTGGGCGAAATGTCCTCCTCTCGCGACAGCTCAGAACTGAGTACCCGCACCCAATCACCTGTGCGAATAGGAGAAGGACGCATGTGCTTGTCAGCCTGCTGAATCATAGACTTTTGGGCTTTCAGCAGAGGGGGACCGAACTGAGGAGGCCTGTTTGGAAATGCATCAGCTGATGTGAACGGCAATAGCTTGGATGCATGGAA